CTCAGCCTATTTAATCCCTCATTCTCCTTCATTTCAATACACCTCTTGCACTCCAACATATTTCCCTGAGCTATTCATACTTTGCTTCATTTTCCTCATCAAAATATTATTTTTGAGAGTTAGAAATATTTTTTCTTTGAGTGCTATAGAAGTTGTCATCCATAGAGCTTAAATCTTTCAACACTACTTTGCTCAATTGTGTGAGCTTTCATTCTTGTGTTGTAAACTCAATTTCATTTGAGTATTGTTCTTAAGACTTGTGTGACTCAAGTCTTGTTGTTGTAAGAAAGTGAGGCTTGTGTGATTCAAGCTCTCAAGTTGTACCGGTTTTTCAAGCACCCGTTGAAGCTTGAAGATTAGTAGGACTTTCGAGAGAGTCTCTCGGAGGACTGGACTAGCCACGAGGTGGTGAACCAGTATAAATCCCGGTGTTCTTCTTTCCCTTACTCTCCTTACTTTTTCCTGCGATAATTTTTTACGAAAAACGTACATTCTTGAAAACAACTCTATTCACCCCCCCTCTAGAGTTGCACTTTTGTCTAACACAACTCTATTCACCCCCCCTCTAGAGTTGCACGCATTGTCTAACAGTACCATGTACAACCCTCGATATTAATAAAAATCTCCCGTTGGGAAGGTACCGCCAAAAAAGGTTGTGGTTTTATCCCAATGGGTTTCCACGTCAAAATCTCCGTATTTGTATTTTGGTTTATTTTGTTAGACTAGTTTATCGTTCTTCCCGGCTAAGAACGATATTTCGATCGAGATAATTTACACCATCACCATCTTTGTCAACTTCAAAATTCAAAATCTAGAATTGAAGTTCTATAACTTTCCAAAGAACATTTCATATTTAAAACATTGGGATTGAAAAGATTTTCTTACTTTCAATTTTTTCTCCACTTATATTTTCTTTGGTACTCCTTATTTGATTTGACATTAAATGTAATACCCCACTGGAGTAATTTGAGTCATCTAGACCGAAGCGCTAGTAAAACTAACTTACTTGGTAAAATATTATTTATTTAGAAGAAAATTATCATTCTTTTAAGCAAAAAAATTAAAAATTTCTAAACTGGTTTTCAATACCTTACATTAGCTCAACACTACTACAAGTCAAGAACATCGAGAATGGGACCCGAACTAATCTTACTCTTTACAAAAGCAGCAAGAATTTTTTCCCGCCTAATGTTTTAGGCCTAATTACATAAATATGGGCGAGTTTTTTGGGTCAGAAAAGTTATGATAGTTTTGTTGGAAAAGGTGGCAAATTGGGTCGGGTAGTTACCTTATCAGTGTTCAAATTTTACAACTGGTAACAAAAAACCAATGTAATTTGAAAGTTAGTGACTTATCGTTGTATTACTCCATCCGTTCTTGAAAACACTTCCATCCTAATTTTTTACGCTCCCAAAAAACACTTTTACTTTACCTAAAATGTCTAAAATACCTCTAAAACAAGTTCTACCTGCAATAAACTACATAATGAGATCTACTTTAAAAATTTTAAGTGGAAGTAAAAGTATTTTATGGGGTGCACAAAAAATTAGGGCAAAAGTGTTTTCAAGAAGGAAAGGAGTACTAATTACGGGTTGTTTTTACAAGTATGTATCATGTCGTCTATCGTTGCATAAAATTCTCGCAGTGCATCGCACGAGTTAAAATTTAGTAAGCCTTATAAATACAGACAGATCCCAACAAAAACATAACGGGTAGTCCAGTCGGGTGGGTAGTTACGCTGTTAGAGTGTCAGCATCTTCACTCTCCCAAGCTTCAACATCACTTTGCAGATTTCTAGGGTTTCAGTTCCCTGCAATTTTCACCATTAAATTCAAAATGCACTATCCCTGCTCCCGCGTCCTAATCCTTCCCTTTGCTTTCACCGCACCTAAACCCTAAACTTCCCTTTCTCCATCCCCAGTCGCAGTTCCTCTGGAGCTGTATTCCGCTCATGTCGGGTCCCCCGCTGGCGAAATACATGAGCCGTGCCGATGTGGCAGAGGCGGATCCGCTTCCCAAATCGCGGTCTGCATCGAAGAAATGTTCGAGTGCGGGTTCAATTCTGAAGCGGCAGCAGGAGCACGGGTCTTTTCTGATGAGGTCGAATCTGTGGATGAATGCTTCTTGCTCGTCCGATGCGTCTTCGTCTGATTCTTCTCAGAGCAGGGCTTCTACGGGGAGAGTTAGCAGTCGTAGCGTGACCCTCTCGTCTGCTCGGAAGAAGCAATGCATCTTGAAAGGGGAGGGTACTGCTAAAGTGGCCTGCGAAGCCGAGAGATTGTCTGCCAGTTCTGAAGATGTTAAGAAAAAATGTTCTTGGGTGACATCTAACACTGGTATGTGAGTACTTTTCTCGAAAATTACACTGGTTGTGTGATCCATTGGCTGTGATATAGTTCATGCATTAGTTATGCGCTAAAGAGTATCTTTGGGCATGTTCTTTAGAGAAAATTTAGCCATCATAGACAAATTTCCAAGAATATACCATTGTATTACATCCAAATGTATCAAATAATTTTCCATATAAAGTGATTAGTCGTTTTTGTATAATCAAAATCTTATACCTCTGTAGCTCTTCTGTCTCATCAAGTCTCTTCTATTGTATTTCTTCAACTTAATTCATTTTTACTGCATACATATATGTATCCGTGATATCGTTATTTTAAAATTTGTATGGATTTTAGGCAAGGACCCACAGGGTATTTGAGAGAGAGGCCCTTGTTATTTTATATTTATACTTTTTTATATTTTATTATACCATAGAATTCCATGAGTGAGGACTTGTAGGAAACAATAAGATGGTGAGCCACAATGTACCACTTATTTTCTAGTCTAACCCATTTAATGACACAAACTTAATGTACTACTCAGTGATAGGCTGGAAGCCATGGTGATTGGAAAATTCTTTCTAGTCTGTCACCTTCTTAATGGTGTTAATTTGATGTACAACTCAGTGATGAGTTGAAATCCACGGTGATTTGGAAATTCTCATGCTTTGAGGGCTAAAAATGAAAAATGATATCTGGTTCATGATGTGCTTGTGATTCATTTCACATTAAATACATGCATTTCGTCTCTTTGGACCCTTTGGGAAGTGCGTACAATTTTATCTAATCCCTCTTTTCCTCCTGGTTTTTTATAAGCTTCCTCATAAATAGTTAAGTATATTTGCTCTAAAATGCATTCTTGTTTGACCAACTGTTAAATGAGTAGGTCTCTCGAATGGAAGCATTTTTGTTTGAACTATAATGGATGTGTCAAAAATAATCCATGTGTCCATTGAAAATTTATTCCATTTAATAAAATTCTAGAAATAATCCAAGTCATCCCTTTACAATTTTTTGCAGATGGATACCCAACCCATCTGTATAATTAATCTAAGACGCAAAATAATTTTCTATAATTTCTTTTAAAATCTGCGGAAGGCTTTGAAGTGTTGTGTTGTGCCACTATCACAAACAAGATGACAACCAACACTGCCAGTGTCACTAGTCAGAGCATATGAGCCTAAGCTGCAACTGGTTATGTCATGCGTCTAGAATCAGTGGAATCAATACCACAATTCAAATGATGTATATCATAGTACATTCCAAGGATGTGCATTCTCTTTCATTTAAAGGGAACCATTATCCATCAAGTTTTGCATGTTCATCTGTGTATTACAGCCACCTGCCATTGGTCTGTTTGTCTAGTTATTTTCTTGGTTTAGGAAATACTCCGTCTAATGAATTGGATTTGTTCCCGAATGAGCAGATCCAGCCTATTCTACTTTTCATGATGAGGAATGGGGAGTTCCAGTCCAGAATGATAGGTACACAACTGTCACACATCACTATATTTGCTTATTCCACCATAGTCTACAACACATCCCTGCAATGATCTTCTTGGGCGGCTTTTATTGAAACTCGCAGGAAGCTTTTTGAACTACTAAGTTTATGCACTGCACTAGCCGAACTTACATGGCCAGCCATTCTTAGCAGAAGGCAAACATTCAGGTAATTTAATGTCAATTTGGACAAGTGGTCGATCCCTTTTTAAAAGTGGGTGAGAGCATGTTCGAACAAACTTTTTCATTCTCAATTCCATGCCTGTTTTAAAAAATTTTATTTTCAAATGCAGGGAAGTGTTTCAAAATTTTGATCCTGTTGCTGTGTCAAAACTCAATGAGAAGAAGTTAACAGCACCTGGAAGTCCTGCAAGCTCTCTTTTGTCAGAGTTAAAGCTCCGGGTAGTTATTGATAATGCGCGCCAGTTTTGTAAAGTAAGCACTTCTCTATTTTGTCCTTCCACCTTCATTTTGCAAAAGAAAAAAAATACATATTCTTACCGCTTTGTGAAGCTTTAGTTGAGTTGGACGTTCTAAACATATACAAATGAGCAGATAATTGACGAGCACGGGTCATTCAACAAATACATATGGGATTTTGTGAACAGCAAACCTGTGGTCTGCAATTACCGCTATCAACGGCAAGTTCCAATTAAGACATCCAAAGCTGAAATGATAAGCAAAGACCTAGTTAGAAGAGGTTTCCGAGGAGTTGGGCCCACAGTTGTCTACTCTTTCATGCAAGCTGCCGGAATTACAAATGACCATCTCATCAGTTGCTTCAGATTCCCAGAATGTATAGCTGCTGCTGATGCAATGAACAAAGCTGACAGCCTTAAGGAGGACGACGCCCATGGACAAGTCGAGGAAGATGGTGAATTGGGACTGGTAAGGGCAATTGATGATTTGAGCTTGTCCTCATAGGTACTCGTTGTAATTTAAAGTCATTATAGAGGGCAGTTTCCTGCTCGCCCTTCCCGTGAAGGGTGTGGCTACTGGCAAGTATGTGTACAAATAACTACGAAACTACTCTTTTTTTTCCGGTCTGCATAGAATTTGTCTGCAAAGAAATTTATATGCAGCTACCCCTTGAAAGTCCTCCAATTCTTTGTTCAGTCTAATACTCTAATTTCGCATCTTGGGGATTCTCTCTCTCTCTCTCTCTGTACAGTTCTACAACTGCTAATAACGTTTAATGATGATTATGAAATGAATTGATGATGAAGCTCTCAACATATTTCAACCTCTACTAAATTTAGCCTTGTTTCTTAGTGCCATCAAAACTCGGATTTTGGGGGATCTCTTGATTTCAAAAATAAAACAGCATTTGGAGCGATGGCCCACAATAGTATTATTAGATATAAAGGAATTTAGAGCCCCATATATTAGATTAAAAAGTGTTTGTGTTTTATAGCTCCAAAGCACGCTTTGAAATTGACATGTCATGGTATCATCAACTTTTGAAATAGCATTGTAGCGAATGATTTTGGTCGTATAATTGAACTGTTTGAATAGTACGGAGTAAACAATTGTTTTTCGGACCATGCTAGGGTGCCACCACATGGGTGCTAACATGGGTGCACCCATGCTTCGCATAGACAAACACAGACGATAATTGTCTGTGCGACACAGACAATTATCGTCTGTGTTTGTCTGTGCGAAGCATGGTGCACCCATGGTAGCACCCATGTGGTGGCACCCTAGCATTTTCCTTGTTTTTCTAGCCATCCTGGGATCTTAGGTGACGAAATATTTACAAGCCTTTTTAATGAGTGAGATGAGCAATATTTTAATATTTGACCTGCAAATTTTGGTTCGCTTTTTTTTTAACACTTGGTTTGCTTTACACTATATTTGGTTCAATGAATTAGGAAGGGAAAGAAAAGAAAATGAGTTTTTCCCATTTTCTTCACCAACATGGAAAAATTTGGTTTTCCCTCCTCTTAGTACATTTTACCTTTTCATATTTTTCCATTCACTTTTTTTTTCTTTTCCTCTCTAACCAAACAAGAAAAACTGTTTTCCATCTTAATTTCTATTCTTTTCCTTTCAAATTACCTGAACCAAACATAGTTTTAGGCTCGTTTTGGTACAGACGATTCAAACTATTGAATTAGTAATTGGAGAGAACAATTCCAATTCTGTGGTTTGGTAGCACAAAAATATGTCTATTTTGAATTGGTAGTGCCAAAAATGAATTGGAACTAGAGAATTCAATTTCATCGAATCAATTCTATTGAATTTCATTTTTCAATTCAATTCTAATTATGTCAATTTCATATACCAAACAGACTTTTAAAGAATTTGGAGGGAAAAGGAAAAAAATGATTTCTCTCAATTTTCCTACCATTTTGTAGTTTTGTCTTTCTCATTTTTTTTTCCTTCTACTTTTCTTTTTCTTTTCCTCTTTAACCAAACATGCAAAATGGTTTCCCTCTCATTTTCTGGTCTTTTCCATTTCAATTTACTTGAATCAAATATAGTATAAGGAAATGAAATTCTCATTAACTCAAAACATGAGAAACAAAGTTTAGTGGAGAATCAACCCACAAAAGCAAGACTCAGGCCTTAGCCTTTTCAGCTAACATGATGATGGCGACCTTATTAACAAGAGTAAATTACACATATAGGACCAAAAGAGGGCCCTTTTCCGTTTTTAGGAGCAGTCCTATTTCTGTCCACATGGCTCGTAGTTAAAAGACTGCTATGCCCTCCAATTTAGACTTTAATGAAAATAAAAACAAAAAAGAAGATATGCGCTGATTTACGGAGAAGCGCGAAAGTGTAGCCGCAGCATCCGCCGTAGGTGATACCAACACGAGTTTCCAAGTGTGTCTCTACTTCTCCTGCATGCCGACTTGTGTGGGTATCGTATAATAGATCTAGGATTTCGTCATTCGGAGATCAGGGCGTTATCATACTGCAATTGAATTGAGGAGAAGACATGACGACGAGGAGCAGTACAGCGAAGAAAATGGCGAACAGCGAACGGGTAGATGACAATGATGATTTCGTTGATAAGATTCCAATAATAAAGACCATGAATTTAGTGAAGACAACCTCAGGGCGAGTAAGTTCTTTAATTGTGGTTCTTAATTTTTTTATTAGGTTATAATCCATGAAATGAGGTGCAAGTTTGCCGACGTTGCATATGTCTTGTTTGTGAAAATGTCTGTGCTGTTGAAATGACTTGCAGCGTTTTTAATTATTTATGTACTTTAGCATCATGTGAGTCTTTGTGAAGAAATTAGGTATGGACTGGAGTTTAAAGACTTTGTGGTTGTGAAGAAATTAGTTATGTACTTAAGCATCCTGTGAGATTTATGGTTGTGTGATTGAAATGATTTGGCCTGAAATTAGTTATTTGCCCTATTTGGCTGGTGAATGTAGTGTTTGAAGTTTTTTTTTGTTTGGCAGGGATAGTTTTTGTAGGGATTTGGTAGTGAGTAAGGTTTTTTTTGTTGTAGTGACCAAATTTTGCTTGAAAATGGGTTTAAAGACTTTACACTGGTTGTAATAATTTTTTTCTTCTTTTAAGGTTTTAGAAGATGGTTTTGAAGTCTTTGAGTTGTCTGTAGTGACCAAAGGTGGTCCTGAGTTTAGGATTAAAGACTTGTCACTGGTTTTATTTAGAGTTAATGACTTTTAAGAGTAATGACTTTCTTATCATTGAGTAAGGTGGAATGGTTTTCAAAAGGTGGTTTTATTGATTTTGTATTGTTTGTAGTGACCAGAGCTGGGCCTGGGATTATGTTTAAAGACTTGTCTCTGCTCTGATTTAGGATTAATGACTTTTTATATGTTGAAATTTAAAGACTTTGTACTGGTCTTTAAAAAATGTTGAAATGGGGATACAGAACCTAAGGACTTTGATTTTTCAAATGGTTAGGAATTTAATAGGTCATTAAGGGTTTGGGTTTTAAAATGATAAATGTAATGCCTGGTATATGTTTTGACGTTGGATATTTTGCTACAGGTGTATAAAAGGTTGTGTGATGAAGAGGTTTTGGTCGGGAAAGCAGGGCTTAAGGTGACTTGCTTTTGTAATGTGTGGGTGGGTGCAAAAAGTATTCCAGATGCGGTGAGTGCTTCAGAGATGGCTGAATTGAAGGAATCTGCATTTGGAATTTTCTTCAAGCTTGGGGGAATAAAATGGGTGAATGGTCAGCTGTTGATTTTATTAGCATTAAATCATGTGGAACCCATTAAGAGGAGTGGAGATGTAGATAGAATTAAGTTTCACATTGGAGACAGAATAGTGGAGTTTAAGAAATCTGATTTTGCGTTGATTACGGGGTTGAAGTTTGGAAAGGAGGCTGAGTATGGGGATACTGACCTGGAAAAGGCAAACGACATCAGTACAAGGTATTTCAATGGGAAAATGAGCGTGACCCGTATACAAGTGGAGAATGTGTTCAACAGTAACAAGAACAGCAGAGGTAGAGAACGGTTGGATGCTGTTAAATTGGCTTTACTGAACTTCCTTGTGAACCATGTGGTGGGTAACCAGGGTTTGACAAAAATCCCAGCGCTGTACATGCATCTTGTTGACGACCTGCGACGTTTCAATGGATTTCAGTGGGTAACCAGGGTTTGACAAAAATCCTAGCGCTGTACATGCATCTTGTTGACGACCTGCGACGTTTCAATGGATTTCAGTGGGGAGAGCATCTGTTGAATGACATGGTGGAAAGCTTACGAAAATGTTCGTCAATTCTCAACACGGGAGAACATTGCCGTTTTACGTTTCCAGGCTTCTTATTCCCACTGCAGATTTGGGCGTTTGAGACGTTCCCTTCTTTGCGTGAAAATGGAATATGCATTGTGGGATAGAAGAGGAGCAGTTTGTGGCCTAGGGCATTACGCTGGGAGACGGGGAAGCGCCCGATGCATGACCTGCTGGAGGGGTCAATTTTCGGGACAAAAGAGGTTAAGACAAATGCATTTCTAATCTCATACGTGAATGCTTTTCTTTAATTAAAATGTATCTGATATTACTTTATTCACTGCAGGAAAGTGTTCAATGGACAGAGATGGCTGCTACGATAGCAGAGAAAGGGAAAGAAAAGATTGCAATGTTATTCTCTGAGGGAGATGCAAGTAAGGCTAAGATTAACGATGGTGGAGGAGAGCACGTTGATGAAGGGTATGGGGCTGGTCGTAGAAAACTTAAAGGAAAGTTACATTGGGGAAATGTGGACTCTACAAACGAGGAGGAGATAAATGGGCAGCCGAAGGAGAAGGGAAAGGTTGTGATCCGCAAGAAGACAAAAGGGCAGAAGACGGATAAGAAATCAGACGGGTCACGCGGAGGTGCTTCAAGAAGTGCACCACACGGGAGGCAAAGTGATTTGGGAGAAGGTCGGGAGAATGAACTGTCATTGCGAGATATAATGACGGCAATAGTGGTTATGGAAAAGAGAAACATGAAGATGCGCACAGAAGTTACGAAGCTGCGGATAGCTTTAAATGCCCAGAGCCGTGTCCTTAATAGGTTTATATCAATGAACAGGATGGGTAAGCATTGGCGTAAGGGCAAAAAACGCACAACAGAAGATAATGCGATGCGAAGCTTTGATTTGGGGTTTTAGAGCGAAGAGAAGAAAGATGCCACCGAACCTGATGTTGATGATCACGTTTGGGACGAGGGTATTAATGTTGATGCTGAGATAGGGACCCAACCGGGTGAGTTTCGTAATGATCTTTCTGATCCGTTGAATGAGATATGCACTCAAGAAGTAGAAGGCGGGTGGGTGAAGGCCGTAGATACCTTGGGCCTAGGGAAACGTCTTGAGAGGAATGTAGAGAATGAGGAGTGCGGAAAAGGGCCGACGCACATGGTGGAAGACGACATGCTCTTGGGTGATGTGGGCACAGGCATAGGTGTTGAGGATGTGCTGCGTACTAGCGTGGACGAAACCAAAGCAGCATCTCCAGTAAATGGAGACATGTCAGCTATGAATATGAGTGGTCAGGGAAATGTAAGAAATTTACGAAATTTGATATTTAGGCATGTAATTAATCCAATTTATTAATTGATACAAAGTTGACATAATGACCTTTGTAGGAAATTAAGGAAGATGTTGCAGGGTTCACTAGCAAGTTCGAGACAGCATCGCAAGTTATAGAGGTTTATGTCGTAAAATTCTTTCTTGAGATATGAGTTATCTTAAGTAACGTTCGCAGGCTGTGCAGGATTTACCACCAGGATGGATTTTTTTCACACAACCCAGGGAGAGCTCGGTTCAGATTGAAAAGAATTCAACTGAGAGGAATGTAGACAGGAATTCAACAGAGGGGGTTTTAAATGATTCAACTAATGAGGTGAGTTCGGTTGTTCTCTTTAAGACAATGTTGTATAGTAATTGACTCCTGTGCTAATGACCTGGTAAGTGGGAGTGGTTGTAGTGACATAGTAATAATGGCCTTACTAATAATCTAGAATAATGAGGTTAACATGTAGGTTTTGAGCGGCTTGTTTGAGATTAATGACCAGACCTTTGAGATTGGGAAAAAAACATGGGTATTGACCACATATTAAGGGAGTGTAATAAGTCCATATGATTTCATAAATTCGGTAAACAGATTTATGTTAATGACCAATTATGTGTGTGTATGGTTGCAAATCCTTGAATAATGACCAACAAAAATGTATTGGGAAATCTTGCTTAATGACTTGAAATAATTACTTCATAATGTTAATGACCTGTAATACATGGGCGCAACAATAATCTTTTTTTAGCCTAAGGCAACAGGTCAATAAGGAATTTACTAAAAATATGCCAGGTAAATGGCATGTGTTTTAACTTCATTATGCAATTTAGACACATGTTAATATGCGTTATTGGTTGTATTGGGAAATAAATGTTAGGGACAGGTATTGAGGACGGGAAACGACATTGATCTGCTAAGGGCCGTGTATGAAGAGGTTCAGGATCCTGAGGATGATGCTGAGGTGGTTGTTGAAGAACCATCAACACAGATTGTGGTATTTTTTAATTTATTAAGCTTGTTTATGACTGATAACCATTAACCATTATCTTAATGAGGAGGAATACTACATATTATCCCATAGTGTTTAAATATTGAATGATTCTCAGGTGTATGAAGCACCGATTGCAAGTGAGACACCACCGGAATGGAGGGCAAAGCAAAAGAGGCCCTTGAAGTGTCCAGACAGGTTCACTCTAGATGATTTAGCAGTTCGGCGTAAAACAAAAAGGGTTAGAATAGAGGGTGCGCGTATAACCCATTTTGGGGGAGATGAAGATGAATTCATGGGTCCATTCCCGTTAGACCCGAAGGCGCTGCCTGCTGAGGAGGCGTTAATGAAGGTTGAGACGTTTATGTACCAAGGACTTTTAAAAACCACCTTAGAGTATCGGGGTGCAAGTACCGGGCCCCGGATGATGTGCTTGACCCAAGTTTGTACAAGGGTCACTACGACGAGGAAGACACGTTAACAAAGACCTGGTACTACAACATATTTTTCCCACGGGGATGGCTTTCAGATAAGGTAAACATTGATTTAATTCACGGAGTATGGTTGTAACATTTCTTGGCGAAGTATGAGAGTAATACGTTTGTTTTGGTTGTAAATGCAGAACCTAGATGTCATATTCTACTACCTTAGAATGAAAGGAGTAGAGTTTGGGATGGAGCAGCGTTACACAACGACAGACACCCCATTTCTTGCATTGATGAAGACATTATGTGCGAGGTATATGAATAAGGAACTAACAATTGAGCAAGCAACGCGTAATAAGTCAGTAAGAAGTACGATCATGGGAGGGAAGATGGAATATGGTCGTCCGTGGCAGAGCACAGATTTTGTATACATTCCGCTGAATACTGGGAACCATTGGACATTGTTGGTGCTGGACATTAAAAAGAAGTTAATCAGAACGTATGACTCGAGCATCAGGAGAAATGATTTAAAAAGAAAGTTGTGGCCATTTCTGCCATGCCTCCAAATGTTCCTGCCTAAGATAATGGATAAGTTGGGCGTGTATGACGGACGGGAGGAAGGTCCATTGGGAGATGATGTCTTGGAGGTTGAACCTGGATCGTGCTGCCCCCAGCAAAACGACGGGTATGATATATTTTGGTCTGTATAATGTTATATGCAATGCGTGTTTAATAATTTTTTCTCTTGACGTAGGTCAAGTTGTGGGATGTTCATGGTGAAGATGGCTGAGTTTCTGATGATGGGGTGCGATGTGGGGGATATGGATGATCATGAAATTGCTGCCTACAGGAAGAAGATGACTGTGGAGTTGTTAGCATACTCTGCCGTGTAATGTTAATGAATTTGTGGTGCTTGAAAATAATGCCCTAGTCAAGGATCTGTTTTTTTTGATAATATGCATGTAGTATCCATACTTTTGTTGGTGAAACTAGACATTCTAAACATGTAATCATATTTTGTTTAAATTTGTTGAAGGTATTTGGCAAGTTATGGTCATGCATGGTTTGGAAACAAGTAGAGGGGGTAGACTTCGCTTTCCCTGTAAGTAATAAAAACATGGCGTGAATGTTGAAAAATGGTTATTCTGGTCATTAACGACCTAATGTTGAGTAAATGCAAATGGAAAATGAGGAGTAATCATACATTTGGAGATTTAAGAAATGGTTACATATATGGAGGAAGTCATTATGCTTAAATGTTATGTAAACAAATTTCCGTAATTGAGAGGATGAAATGATAAAGGAGAGGCATAGAAATGACCATAATGATATTAAATGTATGTGTTCACTGAAACGGTAAAACCAGACTAAACAAACCCACGAATCAACCACAAAATTGTCTTGATAGCGTCTTGATATGGAGTCAATCACGACTCAAATAAATGGGATTAGTGCACGTCTTCCTATTATGACCCTGAGATTTGCATCGTGAGCACGACTGGCGCTTAGCATGCTCACCTTTGGACGGGATCCTTCGCTTCTTGGGCCTTCTAGGAGGACGTTTATCGCATGATGGTGGGAGGCAAACAACCTCTGCGACCTCATCGGGCACAACCCAAGATTCTTTAGATGGGATGGGGTGTATGATGCCTGAATATGTAGCTCTCCATGCAGTAGTGGTGTAAAAGGATGAGACGTAATCATAGCAAGACAAACTGCTTCGACAACACGTTGCAGCGACCGCATGAACACACACAAAATGGTCCAGCTGGAATTCACAGCAAGTGCACGTCCAGTTTTGAAAGTTCACTACAAACGAACGACCATTCTTGTCAATGACAAGGAACTCGAATGAACAAGCTGGCCTAACGTGCAAAACCAAAGCAACACCGTTTGGCGCATAGAGAATGAGTGAGTTAGAGTTTTAAGAGATGTGGTAAGAATAAGGAAAAATGCATGTGTACGGACCTAAAAGCATTTATAATAATAATAGCCTATGATATAAATTAAACTTACTTCCATAACAGCTGAGGCGGAATGTAGTTCATTTAGCTCCGACTCGTAGAACTTTGTTAAAGTAGATGACGTTGAGTTTGCTAAATCCCTACGTTCGTGAAACCACCTTTGAGTCCTTCCAATTAGAAAATCAACAAGTTGTGAAATTGGGTATTCACGGGGGACAGCATCAACATTGTTCATGGACTCTGCAAGGTTAGAGGTCATTATAGAATAACGTTGATTCGAGCATGATCTGGCCCACTTCTCTTTCCCGATAGATTTCAAGTAACCAATAATTCTGGGGTCATCTCTGTCCAAATACTTCAAATATCGGTCGCACTCTACTTCAGAAGCTGCCCTTGCAGCACCATAAAACTTCCAAGACAAGGACTTTTCAGATCCATTGAAATTAGTCTTGATGTTTCCAAATATGTGGAATATGCAATGGCCATGGCCCACCTTAGGGTAAACCGATTTAACTGCCTTGATAATTCCATCATGCTTGTCTGAGACAATATATTCCACAGGACGGTGCTTGAGGGCTTGGTTAACTCTTGACAGAAACCAACGCCAATTTGCATCGTTCTCGGCATCACATACACCAAAAGCTAGTGGGAATATTTGGTTATTCCCATCCCGTGTAACTGTAGTTAAAAGTGTCCCTTTGTAATATGACTTCATAAATGACCCATCAATAATTAGCACTGGAACACAATGGGGCCACCCTTCTCTCCAGGGTGCAAGAGATATGAATAAGTACTTGAAAAAGTGGTCAGGCGTAGTAGTGAGTTCAATCAAAGAACCAGGATTAGCCTGTTTCAGCATAAAACACATGGATGGCAAAGAAGCATAAGAATCTTGTACTGTCCCAAAACAAATTTTCAGGGCCTTCTCTTTTGCAAACCACGCCTTCTTATAAGTCATTGCAATTCCGTGCTCCCTACGCATGTCGCTGAGAATAGAATTTAAGGGGAACGGCTTCGTTGTTGCATCACAAAATTTGTGTTTTACAAGCTCTGAAATAATGTGATACGTAGCTTGACGTGTTGTGCCTTGTCGAGCATCAATAGGGCATTGATGTTCATGGTTGTACCTGACAAAAAAACATATGAAGAATACGATTAACTTTTAAAACATGTTTGGTTAAGGACAGATATTAGTATGTAAAGAGGTGATGTTTGGCACCTAAAAGAGCATAATGTCCTGATTAGGACGTTGTTTGAATTTAAAGCTTAACACATAATGTCCATAACAGGGCATAATGTCCTCATTATGTTATTCCCAGTCAGTAAAAAAGCATAATGTCCTTAACATAATGTCCTGATTAGGACGTTGGTAAGAAAGTAAGAGAGCATAATGTCCTGGTTAGGAGTTTGGTAAGAATTTAAAGCTTAATACATAAAGTCATTAACAGGGCATAATGTCCTCATTGTGTTATTCTTAGTCAGTAAAAACGCTAAATTGTGATAGATAGGGGAGGATACAGTAGTGAATAGTGTGTATAGAGCTAAGTTTTGGTACATAATGGAACATAATGTCCTGATTTGGACATAATGAGAGAAAGGCATTAACAGATAGCAATGTTTAGCAGTCTTTAACAATGATTGTAAATGGACTTACGACGTCATTCCTAGTTTGTAAAATGTAGAGCTTCTAAGATAACAGAGCATAATGTCCTGATAGAAATGTAAGGTGATTAAGACATAATGAGTTTAAGGCATTAAGTTATGGCATTTTTTCAAGCAGTAACATGAAGTTGACAGGGGCCTACAACATCATTGTTAGTCAGTAAAAATGTGAAGTTTGATAAAGAACAGTGCATAATGTCCTCATTAACCAGAATTGGTTACGGACGTACAACGTCATTCTTAGTAAGTAGAAAGCTAAAGTGTGTTAAATAAAAGATGATAATGACCTGATTAGTGAGTAATCTGATTAAGGAATAATCTGATTAAGGCATTAACATTGTGCATAGTTTTCAGTCATTAAAATGGATTGGAAACGGACCAAGAACGTAATCCTTAGGCAGTAAAATCTAAAGTTTGTTACATAAGATACAAGGGAGGGTCTTAAGAAGCATGCATTGTGTAAGGTGTGGAAATGTATAAAAACGCCATTATTAAGTGGAAATCAATACGCATCATATAATCATTATTGAAGAACAATGCAAAGTCATTATAAAGGGCTGGGAACGGACCTTTTTGAGATTGCTAACATCTTCAAACGGATGTCAAGGTCCTTTTTGCTGGCATAAATGGCATCAACAGCAATTCTAGTTGGATCGAACCGAGATGTAACGTGCATCTCCTTCATTGTTGCAATCTCCTGCAGAGACATTCTATAAGAAGATGGGTTCGATTGAAGATAGTTATTGCAGTCAAGCTCGCTGGTTTGGACATTATTCTCAGGTATTTCATCTCCCCGAAATGTGTTGAATACCGAGCCAGGGGAAAATCGCTGGATTGGTATATTGTCTTCATCCAAACTGCACATTCTTCGGTTTTCTTCAAAATCAGAGAGAGAGGCGTCTGATTCTGTAACTTCGCAGTCGCTTGAATTGGTGACGGAATGATGACAAAGGAGAGGTTGATGTAACTTCCAAAGGACTAAACCCCCTTCAGAAACGATAGTTTCTGAAAAATTAGTTAATTCAACACACAAAGGGAAATCGCGTACCCCACAGTGAGTGCTCTTCAACCGAATGTATGCGTAAAGGCTCGTATCATCGTCGATCACAACATGACTTGAACATGAATCAGAGACGTGCGAAATCTTAAAAACAGAATTCTCATAGGATGATGGGACCATATTACGAATCACCTGTATCAAGTTAGTGAATGATGAGTGATAAGGAATCTGAATCTCATATGCGTATGTGTAGGAGAAGAAGCCATGAATGCCCCATTTGCCGTCGAATTGGAGCAGAGAATGGATGGCAGCCGGTGTGGAGAAAACTGTGACAATGCTAGAAACAGAGGCCAGCAATGAAGAGAACATGGTGTTGCGCTACTGGGATGGGCGGAAGAATTTGGTACTGGCTGGAAGAAATGTAGGAGACGGAAACCTAAATCCATGGGGAGTTATAGAACTGGAGCGTAAATGAAGGGAAAATGGCTAGAAAGTGGGGGAAAATATTAATAGTTATCCTGTAAATATGCCAAGAAAATAAAATAAAACAAAAAGAAAAATCCTAGCATTTTCGATCCAGAAGGGTAAAAACGGATGCACGCCCAAAAGTAACTCATATCTAAGGGAAAAAAGATACAAGTCCTATTTAGGGAAAACACATATGTTTGGGTCCTAAATGGAAAAAATTTTACTATTAACAATGCGACGAACAATATCAAGAATAGTTGGGGATACGATCCTTAATAATAGTACCAAAATAAGAAGAGTAGGAGTTCCCAATATAGAAATCACCCTAAAAAAAATTAAAATATATAAAAAAATACCAAAATAGAAATTCTATGATTTTATAGACGAAATAGAATTTCGCATTGTGGTAACTGTTAGTTCCATATTGTGTTGACATTATTTTTTGACAAAAGAATAGATTTACCTAGAATTATTTTAGATTTTTTATTTAAACTTAGAGTCCTAGCATGTGAAGAAAGAGAAAGAGGAAAGAGCGTGAAGAGAGAATTCTAATCCTACTTGGTTTACTATTCTTGAGGAGGAAGCCATGGTTGACACTCCTAAGTACACTCTAACAGAGTTATTCTATTCCATATACTATCTACTCCCTCCCTTATGGTTTTTGAGTGCGAAAATACGAAAAAACAGAAGCAAATCCGATCAAAAGAAAAAACAAGAAGGTGCAGATTTTGATAGTTCAAATTTCTAGATAGCCTACGTGAATTTGATCATCTCCAGAGATCTGACCATTGGATTTTTCTGAAATTTTCAAAGAGTGTTCCCAACACATAGGGCTTCAAAAATTTTAATATTCATGTAAATCGGAGTTACGGATATTCTGTTATCGAAGCTACGATCTACATATTGCCGCTGGTTTATTGCAGAAAACGCATCTCTGGTTTTGTTGATGATCGGAGTACCAAATCTTGTCCAATCGTGCGAAAATTTTAGGAAGAGTCTAAGGACTCGTGGATCTTCAATTTGAACGGTGGAGATAAAATTCCAACAGTTCAAGTCATTTGTAAGTAGACAAATCAATACATTAGAAGGTTCTCTTGTGATTGGTTGTGTAATTCTTACGGTGATTTAGTGGAAGAGCTGTTACACGGACGTGGGCCCCGCAAACGCAGAAGAGTTGCTCTGAATAGCGTAAAAAATTCTTATGTACTCTTTACTACTTTTACTTTATATTCTACGTGTGTGCTTGTGACGGAGAAGATGTTATAACACGCTTTCTGTCATTTGTTACTGTGACAGTGCTACAGTATCTTGTTTACAACATAGTTGCTTGATTAGTTTGCATAGCTTTCAATTGGTGATTTCCGCTGCACCCCCACGAATTTATAATTGATATCGGAGCAGACAAGATTAATTTGCTACCTTGGTTGATCTATCACCATGGGAGATATTCAAGAAGGTTCTAATCTTTTCAAACCTCCACTATTATGCGGCCATGATTATACTTTTTGAAAGTGTTGAATCAAAGCCTTTCTCAAGTCTCTTGGTGGACATGTTTGGATGGTCAGCTCCTACTATGACCAATGGAGATGGAGAACTAATTCAGAAACCTTGTGAAAAATTTAGCAAGAAAGAAAAGGATGCTGCAGAATTGAATGATCAGGCTTTGAATGCAATCTTCGGAGCGGTTCACAGAAACCAGTTCCGTCTTATCTCAAAGTGCACAAAGGCCATGTAACACCCTAGTCCGTCCAGGTCTGCAACCCCTTTTGGACTATAGTATAAATTTGGTAATCGTAGATTTTAAAACATTTAAAACATCTTTATTCATCATAAATAATATTCATTACATAACTGTAGAAAATGCGGAGTATTTAATAATGCGGAAGAGAATTTAAACCATGTCTCAATACAACACAATCATTCATTTTATTCATAAATCCACCACGACTATCTCGCCCCATCCGCTGCTAGGAATACGCCAATGAATCATTCTGTCTACCTGCGTGTAGCAAATAAAACACACTACACACTTAGCGGTGAAGCTGAGTAAGAATATCTAAAGCGTCGAACATCCATATAAATTGAATCTCAATTCATAATTGAATCATTTGTTATCATGCACGTAATGTTCAGTTCAAATATTTATTATTCAACATTCTTCATTCAATATTCATATATATATATATATATATATATATATACGCGAAATCATTCAGTTACACGGAGTCCCTTCATCTATCATCTCGGAGAAATAGTTCTAGAAGAGCCTACAGAATGCTTTGGGCTCTGATCTTCATTTCAGACCGGAATTTCACCCATAGACGGATGGTCAGTCCGAGAGAGTTATCCTGATCCTTGAGGATATGATGCACGCCTATGCAATCGACTTTGGGGATGACTTGGAGCGTTATCTACCAATGATGGAGTTCGCATGCAATAACAACTACAAGGCTAGTATCGATATGGCGTCGTACGAAACGGTAGGCCATGCAACACTCCTACTTGCTGGACGAAGCTCGGCGAGAGGAAGTTGGAAGCACCTGACTTAGTTCGTGAGACTAAGGAGAAGGTCCAAGTGATTAAGGACTGACTTACGGTGGCTTTGGACCAACAGACGTCCTATGCAGATCTTAAGAGATGCGACATTGAGTACGCGGTTGGGGAAAAGGTCTTCTTGAAGGTCTATCCTTGTGAGAAAGTCCTATGCTTCTGTAAGAAAGGGAAACTCAGTCTGAGGTTTATAAGCACATACCTAATAACTGAACGTGTGGGTCCCGTAGCTTACAGGCTGGAGCTACCACCTGAACAGAGTAAGATCCACAACGTGTTCCACGTGTCCATGCTCCGAAGATATTGGTCAGATCCCTCTGATGTTATCCCAGTAGATACAGTCACTCTCGATGAACACCGTGCTTCTAGTCTCCTTCAGGAGACTAAGGTTTCCTCGGCTCATCACCGGGTGGGATGATCACCGAAGAGCAGGGCGTCCCTGCATAGTCTAACTCATGCATCATGAACCATTTGGCACTACATCGTTTATAAATGTGAAACTCTTAATTATCAAATTATATGTGGTATCTCATACTTTAGTACGGGTACGATCATGTCTATATCTATGTGAAATGTTACTATGTGTTCTACTGTTAGACTACCACTCTGCTTTGCTAAGCGTATAGCATTGTTTTTGCTATACGCAGGTAGGCGTGATGATTATGGAGCCTGACCCGGATGACTGGGAGATCGGGGCAGGTGATAGGCGACGGCGGGGACCTGATTATTACTCACTTGATATTATAAACTAGTTTTGGGCTTGAACCCACCGTTGTCGCACTTAATTCATTTTGGACTAAACGTTTGATTTCCCATGCTTCCGTAACGTAACATTTCATTTATTCCGAATACTTAGGGGTTTAATTTCCCCAACAATTTTACTTTAATAAATATATTAAGGTTTCCGGTAACAAAATTAATTCAAGGAGTTTTCTTTTACTGATGGTCCCCAAAAACTATCTGTGTGACCCCTCCGGTCCGTTGGGTTGCAGCGAACCGGGTTCTTAGAACAAAGGGTGTTACCTTTTGTATTCGGAAAAAGACGAAAGAATAAACAAAAAGTATATGACTCTCTGATATGTTATCAACGTGCTCATCGCATTGCGAGATTAATGAAATGAAAAATATATCTGCGCCACAAAGCTGCGTGGGAACGAGATGATCCTAAAGAGACGTTTAGTGTAGCATTTGTGAACAACATCTACGGATCCAGTGTAGAAGACCCCTCTATGGACTCGACATGATCCAACCACTCAAAGACAAACGTTTAGAAATTATCTTATTGTTCTTTCCAAATCACTTGACTGTACCAATTATTGTAATCCTTTGCAATTTCTATCATAAACTCAACTATTTAAATAAAGAATCCTAATAAAGGAATTTTAGTTAATTGTAGAATGAGTCAAGAAACCGCCCATGGTCAAGGCAACAACAGTGAACACATGGGTGTTTATACTGAAGCGTCTAGCTTCACCCCTCCAATCCAAAATGAACATGTGAACCCCCAGAACGTCCTTTAAAATCTTGGAAACAATGTGAATGCTGGTGGCCAACATGACTACGCAATTCCTGTCTTCCTGGCAAACTTGCTTCAACAAGTGGCCAACGCCCCAATGTTTCAACCACCGCCGCCACCACCACAACGTGTGATTACTTTCAAAGCATTGAAAGATAATGGTGCCAAAGAATTTCTAGGACATCGTATCGCTAAACCCCAAATTGCTTGGGATTGGATTGAACAGACCCCTCGAGTGTTGGGAGATCTTAATGTACGTACCTCTTAATGATTATTCGAGGCTTGCAGCACAATTACTTCGTGGGGGAGCCTGGGAGTGGTGGAAACACACTGACTAGAGTGAAGAAACCCCAAAACCATGGTCATGGGAATTCTTCGATAGGGAAATTAAAAAGGAGTACATTCTAGCACGTTTCCGTCTAGAGAAATATACAGAATTTGTTGAGTTGTGACAAGGGGATATGACACTTCCCGAATATCGACAAAAAATTGTCCACCGTAGTAAGTACGCACCGACGTTGGTAAGCACCACAGATGACCGTATTGAGGAGTTCAGGTCAAAACTCCGACCTGATCTCAGTGCACAAGTATCTATCATACCAATGGAAGATTTTACTGCAGCCTATGATTTGATCGTCAAGGGGACAAGGACCTGAGTGCCTGCAAGGAATACCTGAAAAAGGAAAATGTTTGTTCAAGTGATCGTCGACCTGCTATTTTTTTCCAAGGAGGAAAAAGACTGTTCCAAGGGCCTAGCAGCTCGCATCACTCTAAGAAGGGGAAATCTGTGCAGACTCAGTCGGTAGCATCTGTTGATAGGCCAAGGAAGTGGAAGCCTCCGACAAGTGAATATTGTGGTAGGAATCACCCTTGACAATGTTGGATTAAATAGGATTCGTGTCTAGGTTTCTAAAAACAAGGACATTTTCGAAGGGGAGTGTCCCACAAAT